ACTATTTCCTCCCAGGAGCTCAGCCACAAATTCATAACCAAGTTTCAAGAACAAATTTCTAGAATATACTCAAGCTCTGAAGAAGAAATTTGCATCTCCTTTCCAACTAGCCATCAGTATTTTAATCATTTTTTATCATGAGAACACTATTTACACCAAAGAACATGTCTTGTTAGCTTGAAGTGCTGTGTTTAAAAAGATGTAACAGAGAAGCTCTATGTTTGAATGCAAAACACCATAGGAATCACTGGCAAATTCTAAAATGAAAAACAGGTCTCTGAAATGCCCAGAGCCAGCTGCTACTGTCCAGAAGCCAGCTCCTTCCCACAGAGCAGCAGATCGGCATGAGCCACAGCTTAAGTGGGAATGTCATCTCCTAAGGCAAGGTTCGGCAAAGTTTTCTGTATAGGACCAGCTAGTAAATATTTCAGACTTTGCAGGCCTCACAGTCTCTGTAACTACTATTCAGCTCTGCCTTGTAGCACCAAAGCAGCCAGACAATATGTAAATAAAAGAATTTGGCTGAGAGCCAATAAAACTTTAATTTCATATAATTTTCATGTTTCAGAGTATATTATTCTCCTTTTAATATTTTTCAACCATTTAAAAATGTAAATATCACTGTTAGTTCACAGACCACACAAACACAGAGGTCTGCTAGATTTGGCCTATGGGCCATAATTTGCCACTCTTGCCTAAGGCCCAGTTTTCCTTCAGCCTGTGCCTACTCTTTCTCCTCCTTTTATGTAACCTGCAAATTATGTCTCTTCCCTTTTAGCAAAGCTTTCCTTTTCTTTCTCTAAGTCACTGATGGCCAGTTTCTGTTTCTTTCCCATAGGTCCCAGAAGTCCAAGAGAACAATTAAGAGGTCAGGAAAGACAAGCACAGCCTGAAGAAGGGGCACAGCCTCCTCTTCTACTGTTTTCCAGCTATGTGAGCTTGTGCAAGTTACGCAACCATTCCAAATCTCCATTTCACCACCAATAAAAAAAATTACGGCACCCAACTACCTGAAAGTAATAGTGCAGCTGCCACTTTGTATTGAGTAAAGCAGGTAGAGGGAGAAATATAACCCGTGGAGAAGGGTTGCCAAACATGGTTCAGAAACAAGGCAGCAGATACTGCACTTGTAAGCTGTTAAATCATGTAGCGTATGGGCTCCCAAGCAGAGAAAGGAAGCTCAGTGAATTCGGATAAAGTTCTGGGGGAAGGAGAAACCAGCAACCTCATCGATTGCATGCTACTTTTCATAATTCTCAGAACAGGCCAGAAACTCAGTAAACAAAACCTGAGAATGTCTGTGGCAAAAGTACAGTGTAGACCCTGAAGAGCATAAAAATGAATAAAACTCAGCCCTTCATTTTAAAGAGTTTATAATGTATTAAACATAAGGACCTACAGTACAAAGTAAAGATGATATGTATAAACCAACCACATTAAGTTAAAAATAAAAAGAACCAAACAAAAACAGCAAGGGGAAGAACTTCCTAGGAGCTAGACCTCAACAATAAACAGGATTTCAAAAAACTAAAAAGGAACAGAAATTTGAGACAGCTATTCATGTACATATCTAAGATTACAGAACATGTGGATTCTTAATTCCAGTAGACATTATTAAATTGTTCTCCAAAAACACTGTGCTTCCACCAACGGTCAATTCCCATCCTGACATTTGGTACAAGCAGAGTTTATTTTAAGATGCTTTGTCCCATGTGATGGATAGAAAAGTGTAGCTCAATTTAATTTTCATTTCTTGTCTTCACATTCTCTAGAGTTGTTTTATATGTCTGCTTTCATGTGAAATAAAAGGCACAGTCTGTTTATGGATGACATGTCATTCTGTGTGGCTGAAGCACAGAATACAGAAAGTACAGAGGACAAGACCCTCTCTCTTCCAGAGGTTTCTCCAGGCCCTTGCTCTTTTCCTCTCCACCCCATAAATTACTGGTTTGCATCAGTAGATAGGGACAAATCTTTCCTTTTTTCCTTGAATGTACCACAGTAAATTAGAGAGTTTATAAATGAATGAATGTGGTAGAAAAATACTGGTCTTGACAGAAACATTTGAAACCATTTCCTTTATTTTTGCCCAAAACTTGGTTTCTGCCCAATTTGGATCATAGAATAGTAAGGTGCCTCAGAAAACACACACAAATTTGATTCACGTCTAGAGACCTGACAGCAAAGACTTGGCAGGAATACGTCCACCTTCTCCTTATTCCACCTAGAAGGCAGAAAAGGCAGGAAAGATAAATCAGGGTATGAACCTGATTTACTGGCACTGATTAGGAAGGTTCTGCCTCTGAAAGTTCCCATAAGGATATGATTTTCAGGTAACAATTCCTATACATTATTTTCAGAGAAAATGATCATTTTAACCAAAATCTTATTTAGTCTTTCCATGCTAAGAATAAAGTGGCAACCAAAAGGAACCAACACAGCACACAGAACTCTCAAAAATGTAACAAAAAGCTAAGATCTCAACTCTGGTCAACAAAGCACCAGAGCTAGGAAAAATTACCCTCCAAAAATTGATGAATGTGTGTCACATTCCCAACTACAGTGGGTAAACTGAAAATCATTATAAATATTTGTTTTCAAAAATGATTTGCTGTTATCATTTCAGTAACGCTATAATGCCACACTGCCTCAAATACAAATAGATTTGTCTAATCCCATGATTCTTAACCCTGGGCAAAATTTTGTCCCTCTGGGGACATTTGGCATTTTTTTGTTTGTTTGTTTTGTTTTGTTTTCTTTTCTGGTGCTCAGATTAGAAGGGGAATACTACTGGCACCTAGTGCACAGAGGTTAAGGTACTGCTAAATGTCAATGCACAGCATAGTTCCCCAAAGCAAAGAAGTGTCCGGCTCAAAATGTCAATAGGGCCAAGAAATTGTGATCTAAACCATTTCTTCTTGGTTAGTTGGGACATGTTGACAAATATACAGGGTTAGAGATGATAAGCACTCTTCTTAAAGAACTATTAAGCTAGACAAATTAGGGTCCTATAGAAGATCTTGATATTTATGTCAACAAATAAGTTTCTATTCAGTAATTTTCAGTTGAAATATGTAAAGAATAATATAGACCACAGTCCGTGATTCTGCCCACCTTATCAAGCAGTTCACCTCTACGTTTATTAGTTTATCACATAACCTACAAGAACATCTACCTACACCGAAATTTGTAACCAAACTGACTAGTGCTGGCTTCACCTATCACAAATTAGTATTTCCCCACATTTCGATCCTAACCGAATTCCCGCCTGCTTACCAAAAGTGACCAGTCCTCAGATTTAAACAGTGGGTTTCATGTGGTCTTTTCCTGAGGAAACTTTCATATCTAAAATTCTCTTTCTCTGATATCACAATCCATTAAAAGTTTACTGTCCAGTTCCATGAAATTTAAAATCCAGAGTGAGAAGGGAAGTCGATTTTGACTATAAACACAAAGGCAGCTACAAAGGGAGGTCCTCTATTAAAAAGTAAGGGGTGTTGGCAATCAAGTGGAATAAAATATACAAAGGCCAAAGAGGCCTCTCTAAATATAACAAAGTCCTTAGAGATTGTTTTATTTCCCAATTAAAGTTTCCTTGGGTGTTTCAACAAAGAAAGACATTTTTCTGGAGAAGTCTTTTTGTTTTGTTTTGTTTTGTTTTTCCTTTTTAAATGTCTCTGTCTCTACTTTCAAATTTGCTGAAGGCACTTACTTTCTACCTTCTAGATATTATGCTAGAAGAAATATTTTTAAATTATGCAAAAGTTTAGTTCAAATTTAGAGGACTCACACGGGTTCAGAAATCCATTTTAAATGGTCACATATACCTAACAGAAAGAAAAGCATCCTGTAACTGATAGAAATCCATCTGAATGCTGAAATTTCTCAGGCTAACAAAGCAAGCACTGTTTTGTAGAAGGATGGGCAGTTCAGCCTGCTGACGTTATCTGAAACACTTAAAGATGAAAACAAAACTATTGCTACATGGATGAGCTGGACAGCAGACCAAATGTCACTTTCTGAATGTAACTCTGAAATAGAAATTTCTGTCCTTAGGCTTAAGAAAAGTTCAAGTAGAAAAGCACTCTACTAACTTGGGAGAAAAAAAAGGTGCCAAAATGACTTAACAATAACAACAGAAAAAGGACATTAGAAGGTCATTCGAATGCAAGATCTAATTTCAGAGAGTTGAGCACAAAGAGCACAAATGTGGAAAACTCCAAGGATTTTTCATGTGCCACAAAAGGCAGCAAAGCACGTTTAGACAAACGTTGTGAAACTCTCTTTAATCTGGCTAAATGTAAAAAGTTTTGTTTTACAAGAACTTGACTAGACTCTCGTGCAGCTCCAGCTTCTGAAAACAAGAAACAGCACCGGGCTCTAGAAAAGGGTAGGTAAGGGGAGCAGCCGTGTATCCACAGCTTCCCCTTCAGATCCCAAAGGAGGAAAGCTGCCGCCTGGAGGTACTGAGTAGCCAGGCAGCCTTACTGAAAACAACTAAGGTTTCTGAGCAAGCGTTGTTTTTGGCAAGAGGGAGGTGTTACCGGCTGCTTCCTGGGGTGCTGGAAGGAATGTGTCACCATCAATTAGAAAGTACACTAAGCCCCGTGTTTAGGTCACAGAAGGAGTACTGCCTCGTCCACCACGGATAAATCCATGCCAACTCTCAGAAAGGGGGAAAGAGAAAGGACAGCTGCAGGAAAGGTGTTGTGCCCATGACCTGCAAGTCCAAAAGGAAACTCCAACTTGTTCTGCAGGGAAATTCGGGCAAGCTGAGTTCACCAAGAACTCCAAGGAGTCAACGAGCGCGCGTGCCCCTACACTTCCCCTGGGACCAGCGCCGCCCGACCGCAATTCTGGGGAAGACCCCGGCGGTCCTGGAGAGGAGGGACAGGCCCCCACTACTCACCTGGCCAGCCCCGCGGAAGGGTGGTGGATGAATGAACTGCCCCCCCGCCGGCCGAACCTCGCGGGACAGCGGCACACCGCAGGGTGCTCACCTGTGGGGATGCTCGAGGGCTTCTCCGAGTCTGCACCCAGATAGGAATTCCAGGGGTGGAGGACTAGCGCCAGGAGCAGCAGCTGAGGCTTCACCGTGCGCACCCCCATGTTCGGCCCTCGAGGGCCGCGCGGGCTCAGGCGCCCACGGCCCCGCAGCGCCGCACTTCTCGCGAGAGCGCAGACACCCGGGTCCGCCCTGGGCTAGCGATTGCGGGCGGGAGCGGGTGGGCAAGGCGCGGGGCCGGCAGCGTGAGCTGCGCGTAACGCGGCAGAGTCAGGTAGTCGGCGGAGGCGCGGAGCAGCAGGCGCCCGGGGCGCTGCAGTGGCCTTATAGGCTCCCCGAGGGGAGGTGACGGGGCGGGCCGAGCCCTGGCTATTGGCCGCCCGCTGACCCGCCGCCGCTGCGCGCCCGGTGCGGTCGCCTCCACTCGCCCTCCTGGGCCCCACGTCTGGACTGTTTGCTCAGCTCGGACGCTATTTAAGGAGCTGCCTGCGGCTACGTGTGGAGACTCACGCAGCGCTTCTGCCTGGAACGGGGAAGACTGCCCTTAGCTTTGGGAGTGGGTTTGGGAGAGGGAGGAGGAGCCGCCGGGAATCTGGCGGGAGGGCGGTGCTCCCGTCTGGGTTCTTCTCTGCTGTCCCAGCCCCAGTAGCTTCCACAGCAGCCGCTAAGGGTGAGAATTTGCTCTTCTATGGACTTGGATACCCCACCCAGTCTGAAGTGACTGCAGATCTGCCGCAATCTTGTCTGCATGGAACCTTGCCAGACTCTAAGCCATGGAAATGGATCGCCCCTCATTAATTCAGGGGCAGGTTCATCACCCTGTAAAACGAAGGCCGTGCTTTTATTTTACTCCGTAAACCGAAAGTTTTATTGTCCAGTGAACATTTCTTGTTCCGCCGCTTGTGCCAAGAGAGCCTTAGACTCTTTCCAGTAATGAGGCTTGTAAATCCTGCGGAATCAGAGCCCAACGTGTGTAATGCCAGGGCTGTGCTTACAAGATCTTCCTCCAGTCCGCATGGAAAATTACTCCTAAAGACGTGGTCGGAGAGGTCGAGGTCTCTGAGCCTTGGCCGCCACTCCTTCCATTTTTGACTGATGTCTAAGAAAATTCCCTTTTTTATGTTCTCACATTTTAACTAGCCAAGGGTTTAATTTGTTGGAATGAGTGGGAGCAAATGAACAATTAAGAAAAAGCTTGACAGTTTTGCCTCATACATTTAATGACGTACGCTATCTTATAGGAGAAAGAGAACCAAACTGCTTCCATTCTGGAATCTCCTGCCTCAATTTTCGTGAAATGAGAAAAAAAACAGAATTGAGACAACACCCGTTATAACTCTGAGCCTTTGAAATTAAAACCGAAAATTATGGAAAAATGTATTCCATTATGATCACATTTTGTCTAAAATTAACATATCAAGGTAAAATGAACTTAATGCTTTCATCTTATCTTGGTAGCATTAGAAACAGGTGGAAAACTTGCAAAGAAATGTTGCCTGGGATGTGACATTTTAAAAAAGAATCACTTCCTGTGCCCACAACTAAGCCAGTTATTACTCCGTTTTGAAGGTTTGGTCTCAGTTTTTTAAAAGAAGAGGAAAACTGGAGAAAGTTCTGAGAAGGGTAACAAATAATTAAAGAAATGGAAACTATGACCTGTGAGAAGAATAAAATAAGGTTTATTTAGTCTGAAGGGGGGAAAAAAAGCTAAAAGATGGATTCCTTAATGACAGCCTTTCATGTGTGGCAAGTACAGCTTCATAAAACTAGGCACAAAGCAAACAGCATCAGTCCTCTGAGTCCAAGGACTCTGCTATGAGTGGCCGGTGTTTTGGCCAAATCTGTCTCCAGAAAGCCAAACCTGCAATTGCCAAACTCCTTGAACTTGACTTCTTGCTTCCTTGGTTCTCCAGTATCTTTAAGAACTTGCAGAGCTACAACCTGGCTTCCTGCCCTCGCAAACCCCCCTTCCCCTCATGAATGCTTAACGGCTTCTCTGCATTACAGGTGTGTGTGTGTGTGTGTGTGTGTGTGTTTAAACTCCAAAAGTCCACTAATAATTTCAGGTTACTTTGACATTCTTCCTTCTCTGTTAAGAATCACAATGTCTGTACTGTGAGACTAGTATAAAGCAAGTGTTTCTTTGGGATTTTCAAAATACCTAGACACTTCTAACGCAGTCTGAAAGAGCCCCAATTCTGAAACCAAATCCTTCCTGCTTTCTTATATTTCCAGCCATCTGCTGAACATTTCTACTTGGATGTTCCATTGGCACAAACTCAATATGTCTTTTTTTTTTTTTTTTTTTGAACAGAGTCACGCTCTGATCACCCCGGCCTGGAGTGTATGGTAACAAATCTCTCTCCACTGCAGAGCTGCTCGCCTCCGGGTTTCACACCATTCTCCTGCTCAACCTCTGGAGTAAGCTGGACTACCAGCGCCTGCCACCAGGCCCGGCCCTAATTTTTTTTTTTTGTATTTTTTAGTAGAGATGGGGTTCACCCGTGTTAGCCAGATGGTCTTGATCTCCTGACCTAATGATCCACCCGCCTTGGCCTCCCAAAGTGTTGGATTACAGGTGTAAGCCACGGCGCCCGGCCCGACTCATCAAATCCAATCCTAGTCAGCTCCCTCCATCTCTGTTGATACTACTGCCTCTCTAACTCATGTGTCCTCAGACATTTTTACTTCCTCTTCCTATCCCTACACCCGCCACTTCACAGAGCTGGACTCAAATTTTGTCATTTTTTCCCCTTTATGTTCTGTCTTCATCTATTCCTTTCCATTCTCACTACTACCTCACTAACTAATGCACTCTTGAGTATATCCTAGGCCATTTCCTGTAGACTTTCCCTACCACCAGTATAATACCACTATATACCACAACTAGATGAATCATACTCATGTCCTTTTGCTTGCTTCATCCCCAAACAGATTTCATAAGAGATTTGGAAACAATACAAATTCCCTAACGTAGTATTCAGATCCCTTCATGCCAAACTAGACCCAACCAATGTAGTTTGCTTTATTATCTCCTAAAGCAGACCAAATACTTTGTCACTTTCATTCTCTAAAGTTTAGGTAGGAATCATTTGGGTTCCTCCGAGCATGAGCCCAAATTCAGTGACTAGCAGTTTGTGGAGAGTTTCGAGAAAACAAGATAGGTGAGACTAAAATGACACAGGAAGGGGAAAATATCCAATTAAATCAACCACAGTGGGTAATTGGAGCTTAATCCCGCAAAATTGATATACTATATATCACTCAAAAATATCCTGGTCAATGGGTCAGAGAACTGGGATATGTATTCCCAACACCTATCAGTCATTGACTTAAGGGCTGAGGGACACTCATTAATTCCCAGGCATTCCCAACCTGCTGTGGTAGCAGCCACTCCAGTGATATAACTCTTGATCATAAGAAGTCAGGGTGACATGCTCAGAAATGGTAAGGAAATTTGAGGAGAAATGAGAGAAGCAGCATTTGCTCAGCAACCATACCTTTGTTCATGTTATCCGTATATCTTAAAAAAAAAAAAAAAAGGATGACAAAACCTGTCCTCCTTCCTTCATCGGGCTAAAATCTGTCAAGCTGAAGTGCCACCTCCTACAGGAAGCCCAACTGGAGTACCTTGCCCTACCTCAGGCTGGGTAGAGATGTCCCTGTTCCATGATTTTTAACTTCTGAAGCAGACCTCTCTCATTTGTGACAGGGTCTTTTCTTAGCATTATTATTAGACAGTCTATCTATTAAGGTCAGGATTGAATTATTTTTCATCATTGAAGAGTAAGTACCATAGTAGCACATTTGTTTATTCATTGATTCATTCAAAAAATATTCCGTGACTGCTATATCTCAGGCATTGTTCTAGATAGATGTTGGTAAAAACAAATTTATTAGTGACAGAAAAAACCAAAAATCTATTGTGCTTTAGTTTCAGGTGAAACAGAGATAAACATGTCATGGTAGTAAGTGGTAGAAAGAAAGTCAGTCAGGAAACGTAACTAGGAAGGATCAATAAGGAGGGGAGGTATACTGAAACCTTAGTAAGGGATCCTGGGAAAGCCCCACTGAGAAGATGATTCTTAAGCAAAGATCTGAAAGTGGTGAGAAAAAGAGGGGGCCATGCTGTACAGGGAACCTGCGTTCCAGGCAGAAGAAACAGGAAATGCAAGGACCGTGAGACCAGAAATATCTGGAGTGTTATGAGGAGGCAAGAGGGCAATTGAGTGTTCAGTGACTATGGGTAAGAATAGTAGGAGATGAAGCCTGAGAGGTAATAAGCAGGGCGGAGACAAGCAGATAAACAGTGTGATAAGGGTAAAGCCTGGTAACAGCTTTGTCCTTTACCCTGGATGAATTGAAATGCCTTTTGGATGGTTGTAAGCAGAGCACTGACATGATCTGAAGTAGGATTTAAAAAGGATGACAGAGTCCACAGCTGCCACATTAGAGGAAGATAAGGGAGGGTGAGTGGAGAAATGAAGCAGAAAGCCGGTAGACCTGTAGACCAACTTGAAGGATAATGTAGTGGTCCAGGAGAGAGATGACGGAGGCTTTAAGCAAGTCAATAGCAGTAAATGAAGGTCAATTTCCAGATAGATTTGAATGTAGAGCCAACAAAATTTGATGTTTGAATGCGGGCGTAAGAGAGAAAAAGGAGTCAACGAATATTTATTCAATGAATATTTGTGGAGTGAATAAGAAGTAAAGCTTCGGGAATTTGTGTAATAACCCTGGAGGTACAGATGAAGGGGGATGTTAAATGAATTAGAGGACAAAGAAAAACCACCAGACATCCAAGAGCTGAAACTCAGAGAAGGCGGACCCTTTTGAAGAAACAGGAAAAAAGAAATCGGCAAAAAAAGACTGTTAAACTCAGATAAATAGGAGAAGTCTTACAGAAGAGAGACTGGGCAATAGGAGGAAGCCTCAGAGAAGTCATTGATTGTAGCGTCGGGAAACATAGTTTAAGATCAGAACTTAGATGGAAGCAGAAACAACAGCAAATATAAGATACAAACTGGAGATGAGGGTTTAGAGAACACCATGAAGCAGAGCTTTTTTTGCTGTGACTCTTCATTCTAAACAGGCCTCTGCTGCAGATGTCAGGGGATGACCTCTCTAATTTTAGGATGATTGAGTTGCCACAAATCTGAAGCTGCCCTTTACATATGAGAGGTTTGCAGTATAGTCTGTGGGCCCCAGCAGTTTTCCCTTTAAATTCTTTAAGCTGTAATTTGACAGGAATGATTTACCAGGTGACTTTTTCAAGGCTGAACATCCTTTCAAACGAAGCCTGTACGAGACCAACTACATTAAGAAATTAGAAATAAAAAGAACCAAACACAAATAGTAAGGGGAAGAACTTCCTAGGAGCTAGACTTAAACATTAAAATGACCTGTTTAACCATAAGTCAAACAGGTTTCCTGGTGCGACATAAACAGTGATTTATCCCAGAGAAAATGAGCATGGTTTATTTTCTGAGGTGTTTTATTTCTTTCGTTTCTTATTTGTCTTCAAGAGAGGATAAGGACACTTTTCAGTATATTTTTTAAATAGCACTAATTCTATGTTTTAGTCATCTTAGTGTACTTATCTGGAATCTTCTTTAGGTGGTTATGAGTTGTGAAACCCTTGTACCTAGCAAAATGATGTCAGATGTAAAATGAAACTCAGTCAAGTTCAAAGTAAGAAGAGCATGCCAGGATAGGAAAGAATGCCAGCAAACACAAGTATTTTGAAGATGATTTTAGCAGATGTTTATGACTAGTCAAAACGATTGGGCAGAACTGTCTAGGCCATGAGTCATCCAACAGGGTCAGCAATCATTGTGGCATTCACATTCGGTCTTCCAAATATGTTTGACCAAAGTTCCACAAGATGACATACTTGTTGGCATAGCTAACACCAGATTAGCATTAATTATGATTAATCACCATGTATCGTCAACATTTTCTTGT